CTCCTCCTCCTCCTCCTCCTCCTTCTCCTTCTCCTTCTCCTTCTTCTTCAATAGAATTTCATCCTAGCTGTCCTAGAACTTGCTCTGTAGACGAGGCTGGCCTCAAACTCACAGGGATCCACCTGCCTCTGCCTCCCAAGTGCTGGGATTAAAGATGTTCACCATCACTGCCAGACTTAAGATTTTTATGTAATTAATTTTTAATTATTTTTTGTGTATAGGTGTTTTGCCTCAATGCATGTCTGCACATTATATGCATGCCCAATGCCAATGGAAGCCAAATGAAGGCCTCAGATCCCCTGGAATTGGAGTTACAGGTGAGCTGCCATGTGGGTGCTGGAAACTGAACCCAATTCCCCTTGAAGAGCAGCCAGTGCTCTTAACCACTGAGTCATCTCTCTATCCCCTAGGTCTCATTTTGATCATAATGTTGGCAGATGTGATATTCAATAGATTTACCTTGGTTTTTCTGTATACAAGGATGGCTATACCAGAGCCATGTGCTAGGAAGACTCTTCTCTCCACTGAGTTGTCTTGTCCTCTCGTTTAAAATCAAAGATCTATTTCTAGAATTTCAATTCTATTTATTCCATTGATCTCCATTGCTACCATGTTCATTAATTTTTTTGGTTTTTTTGTTTGTTTGTTTTTGTTAACTTGATACAAGTTAGAGTCACAGGGGAAGAGGGAACCTCAACTGAGAAAAAGCCTTCATCAAATTGGCCTGTAGGCAAGTCTGTGAGGCATTTTCTTTATTAATTATGGATATGGGAGGGCTCAGATAATGGATGGTGCCACACCTGAGCAAATGGTCCTGGGTTGTATAAAACAAAAACAAAAACAAAAACAAAAAGCAAAACTAAGCAAGCCATGAGAAGCAAGTCAATAAGCAGCATTTCTCCATGGCCTCTGCTTCAGTTCCTGTCTTGGCTTCCTTCATGATGGACTATGATTGGAATGTATAAGCCAAATAATAAACTTCTTCCTCCCCATGCTGACTAGTTTTATGTCAACTTGACACAAGCTAAAGTCATCTGAGAGGGGGGAACCTCAATTAAGAAAATGCCTCCTTAAGATCAGGCTGTTAGGCAAGTCTGTAAGGCATTTTGTAAATTAGTGATTGATATGGAAGGGCTGGGGACATCCCCAGGCTGTGGATTCTATAAAAAAAAAAAAAAAAAAAAAAAAAAGCAGGCTGAGGAAGTCACGAAGAGCAAGCCAGTAAGCAGCACCCGACATCTCTGCATCAGCTCCTGCCTTCAGGCTTCTGTCCTGTTTTGAGTTCCTGTCCTAACTTCTTTTGATGATTAACAGTTATATGGAAGCATAAGCCAAAAAAAACCCTTCCTCTCCAAGCTGCTTGGGTCATGATGTTTCATCAGAGCAACAGTAATCCTAACTAAGACACTCCCCAAGTTGTGTTTGGCCCTGGTATTATCAAAGCAATAGAAAGCAGACTAAGATAGCTGTACTTACACTGTTTCTCTGTCTCCCCACTTTTGGAGACAAGGTTTCATGTAGCCCAGGCTGGCTTTTAACTCCTGACTCTCCTGCCTTCACCCTTTAAATGCTAGGAGTACAGCCATGTTCTACCATGTTCTACTACGCCTGACATTAGAACCACACTCTCCTGACTACTATAGCTCTGTAGTGAGAATCAGGAAGTGTAAGCCCTCTGCCTCTGTTCTTTCTCAAGATTGTTTTGGCTATTCTGAGTCCCTTGCCTTTCCCTGTGAATTTAGGGTCAGAGGCTGGCAAGATGGTTCAGTGGGTAAAGGTACTTGCTGCCAAGCTTGGTGACTTAAGTTCAATCCACAGGACCCACATATTGGAAGGAGAGAATCTAATTGTTCTCTGACTTCCACACACCTGCTATAGCATGTATGTAGGCACACAAGTGTGTGTTTGAGCATAATACACACAGAGAATAAATAAATAGAATGTATTTTTTTTTTCGAGACAGGGTTTCTCTGTGTAGCTTTGCGCCTTTCCTGAAACTCACTTTGTAGACCAGGCTAGCCTCAAACTCACAGAGATCCGCCTGCCTCTGCCTCCCGAGTGCTGGGATTAAAGGCGTGAGCCACCACTGCCTGGCCAATAGAATGTAATTTTTAACAAAAATTTTAAAAAGAAAATAGCCTTGAATCTAGAATCAGCATGTAAAAAGCCAGACAAATTCTTTAATGTTACTACCTGAATGATAAGTTTGTCTTTGACCCATGAAGGGAGATCCCCTCACAAGGTTAGATCCTAGTTCCTTCCAAGTCTGCAGGTCTCACACATGTCCCGTAGTGACTCCATTCCTTGATGTTTTGTTCTTTCTGCTGCTATTCTAAATGAAATCGCCACTTAGATTCCATCTTGGATGTTCACTACTAGTCTATACATCTGTTTGTCTTTTGCATATTGATTTTATATCTGCCGCATTGTTAAACATCTTTACTCATCCAAGTGTTAATTTTCTTCTTGCTGTGCCTAAAATACCTGACAAAGCGATTTAAGGAAGAAAAGATGTATTCAGGCTCACAGTTCAAGGGTACATCCCATAATATCAGGGAAGGCATGGATGGGCACAGGGATCTGAGGCAACCCATCATATTATACCAACAATCAAGAAACAGAGATGAACACTGGTGCTCAGCATACTTTCTGCTTTTCATCACTCGAGTACCCCAGCTCACATTTAGGGTGGGTCTTCCCTCTTTAGTCAACCCAGTCTAGAAACTCCTTCACAGACACGCCTGTAGGTATGTCTCATAGGGAACTTTAAGCATTTACCAGCACGCTGTCCTTTTCCATGGTACTAGGTCCTTTTCTAACGGTGCTGTTTCCATCTTGCCCAATCATCCTGCCTAGAACCCTGGGGAGAAATGCTGAGACTGTCTTGTTTGTTTCATCTTGTCTTGTCTCTGACCTTTCCCGGTGAGGAGACTCCAGGCTTCCTTGAGAGGACACAGGCTCAGGACTTTTATAAATCTCCAGTCCTTGCTCTGTCTAGAGGGCAGCTCCCCTTCTATTGCTGGTGAATGAGGTACTCTAAGAGGAGAGTGTGGAGCTTTAGAGAGTAGAGGGCTGCATTTCCTGTCTCTATGGAGATGCTCACAAGAGTTTTGTCTGGCACTGCTCTGGTTGTTTTTGGATGCTGAGCTCTTTTAATACACAGCTGTCTTGCTCCCTGACCTGCATATGAATCTCTAGCAAGCAGAAATGGCAGTGGCCAACCTCCTCACTTGAGCAAGCGCTGCAGAAACAGCCCATTTGGGTAGTCGTCATGAATTTCAGGAAACCTAGAGAGTGGCTCGGCAACAACCTCCCCCTACCTCCTGCCAAACACACACAGCAGGAGCCCTCTGTGGAGTGAGTCACAAGACCCTGGGACTGGGCCAAACAGGACTTGACCTTGAGTTTCACAAAGGCCAGGCCCTGCTCCAAATGACAAGGACATTTTGCCCTTACCCACCTAGAGACACTCTGCAGCATCTCTGTCACACTGGGGAAACTGAGCAGCCAGTACCAAGTCACACTGGCAGGAGAATTTTGAGACAAGCCCTGGCTATGAAGGCCTGCTCTTCCCACCTTCCCACACCCGCTGGCCAGGCGAAAGCAGGGAGAAACCTCCCATCCCAGGGTTAGGCTCCCTCATTTCCTACCACAGCTCATCTGCCTTCCCTCGCTGATGTCTTGGAGCCAAGAAAAGAGAGATAGTCAGGCTGAGCTAACCCAGGGGCCCTTCTCTGATGCACTCTCTGGGTACCTACCTGACACATGTCCTACCAAGCTGGCCTGTTGGTCTCCCCATGTCCTCATAGCCAAGCTGGCAGGATGTTAGGCAGGGCACTTAGATGTGGTGCTCACAGGTGCAGGCCCTGCAAGGCGGCCCCATAAATGCTTGCAAACAGTCCTCTCAGCAAGTCTCCTAGAGCCTATGAGGTAGCTCCCTACCCACCCCCATCAACTGGAACAGAATGCGCCTAAGTCAGCCTTCCACCTAACCCAGACCTGTCTTTCTCCTGCCTACATCTGCTCCTGGGCCCAAGAGAGCTTCCTTTCTGTGCCTTGACCTGGAATGGCTCTCTCAGCCCACAAGGCTTTTCAGATATGAGAGTCTGGACCCATCTTTCAGCTCCTCTAAGACCCACAGTGCAGGTCTACTACTGTGTGACATTTCCCTAAGGAAATGCAACATGAACATCAGTTCATAAACATGAACATGAACATAAACATTCACTTCAGAAAAGGAACTGACAGCAGACCAAAGAAAGATTCCACCAAAGTCCAACTTGGTAAACCAAGCAGTTGATTGGGTTACTTACAGAAGTATGGATGAGGGGTTACTTACAGGATCAGAGAAAACTCAAAGGCAGCTGTATCACCAAAAACTCCAGCATGGATGATGGCTCCCAAAAGCTGGAATCCTGGAGCTCTAGCACCTCAACAAAGGTCAGAGCATGGACTCTCTTCCTGTTTACATGTCCTTGGGGAAGAAGGGGCCTTGTAAGTGTCAGGAACTTCTGAGACTTGTTAGTTGTTCACTTCCTAGTTTTAATACCTTCCCTCCAGAATGTTTTAATATGAAGGAAACTGATCTACAAAAAACTACCCACTGTGATTGGTCAAGCATCCTGGCATTGATGTGACCAGAGCCTAAGGGCCCCAAAGGGAGTGGCTGTGGCTCCTAGGCTGCCCATAGCCAGTACTTGGAGAAGTTCCTGGCACACAATGGAACCCACTAAAAACCTGATGTACTACACAGTACATAGACAAAACAGCTGGCCCTGCATGACCTTCAATGTGCATCCCCCACTTTGGGCATGAGGTGTCCCCATCACTGGAGAGAGTAAAGAGCTGATGAGAGAGCAGGTGCCCATCTCTACACATGCAAGGACTGTTCTTTCCTCCTTTAAACAAAAAGAATCCTTACAGACTCCCTTGTGGGGACTCAAATGACTTTTATTGTGATGTTACTTCAGCATTGGTGACTTGAGTTACTTCTAATGTAACAAAACTTCAGCCTCTAGGAACTATATAAAAGAAGGCATAATCCTTTACTGTAGCAGCTATACTAACCTGTTTACAAAGCCAAAACAAATGCACAAATTAACCCTCAAGAAATCTACTAGCCTAGCAGAGTAGGTGATTCCAGAAGAGTAGCTCCCCACAGGAAGCTAATGGCCAACCATAAGGTGTACATGTAAATTATACACAGTTCATATTTTAGTTCTTTAGACTCCTGGGCATGGTGGCCCACACCTCTAATCGCAGCATTCGGGAAGCAGAGGCAGGCAGAGCTCTATGAGTTCCCAGAAAGCCAGGGACTACTTAGCAAGACCCTGTCTCAAAATTAAAATTATATATATTCCTTTGTAAACAAACTTCCAGTGCCCTGTAGCCAGAGGGGTGCCAGGGGGGTGAGCCTCATAGGGAACATGTCCTTTTTTTGTTTTGTTTTGTTTTTTGGCTTTTCAAGACAAGGTTTCTCTGTGTAGCTTTTGGAGCCTGTCCTGGAACTCACTCTGTAGACCAGGCTGGCCTCGAACTCACAGAGATTCACCTGCCTCTGCCTCCTGAGTGCTGGGATTAAAAGGCATGCACCACCGCCTGGCAGGGAACATGCCCTTAACTGCTCAAAGTTTTAAGAACAGGGAGTGAACTGGAAAAAGCTGGGTCTTGGGAACTGGCCCTTCCACGGTCTCCAGTGTGTCCCTGCTGATGAAACAGCCAGGCTGTCCTCCAGTTCAGGAAGGAGGTGCTAAAAAGTTTCACTGGAACATCATCTATGGTGACAGCAGCCATTCCTCAGCTGGGAAGGGAGCCCTCCCCCAATCTTTTCTCACTTCCTTATAGCCCTAACTTTTAGGGAGCCAGTCAGAGGATAGAGAATGGACTCTTGGAAGGCACAGCCAGGGCAGCATGAATATAGTATTTGAAGGTGCCCCTGAGGGTGCTCCAGCTACAAGATTTGCTACGGACACTGGGTACACTAGTGACCTTCCCAAACGCACTTTCCAAAACTGCAGCCAGGGCCTCTATCTGTGGGACTTGGGGATTAGCCAGGGAATACATAGAATTCCATCCTAGACCTTCAGACCTATCCAAGTTGCTGCCTAAGAGATACATACACAGAGCATGCTAACTTTTAAGACCCTTTCCTGTCGAGACACCTCCACTGAGGAACCCTCGGGGAAAGTCCAAGGCGCCTGAGTAAAGGGAAGTAAGTGGGGGTTCTTTGCGGGGGGAGGTATCTTGTGGCCAGTCCTCGGTCTTGACCCAGCAGCGTGCCCCCGGGGGTTAGGAGTCCTCAGGAAGCTTGGGGAATATCCTGCGCAACACAGAGCAAGGAGACCGTGAGAACCATCTGCACTGAGTTCTCGAACGGTTACTCTGGGACTGAGGTGGCAACACCCAAGCACCCCTAGACCAGGCACCCCCGCAGGCGGGAGGCGGGGCCTGGGGAGGAGCGTCCTCGGGGCGGGGCCTCGAAGGGGCCGGACCTAGCGGTCTATAAAGAGTGCGGAGCTCCGCGCGCGCCCGGTCCAAGCGAGCGCGCCCCTGCTTCTGAGCGGTAGCGACTCTCGCGTTTCCTGCTAGGCCTCCAGCCCTTCTCTACCCCGCGTCTCGTTCTTCATATCCCAGTCCACCGGCCCGCCAGCGCCCCTGGCCACCTGCCAGCCCCGGACCCCAGTCCTGCGTCCCCAGACCGCCCGCTCCAGAACCAGCCCAAGCTCCGCAGGCCGAGCGCCGCCATGGGGGTGGAGGGTTGCACCAAATGCATCAAATACCTGCTCTTCGTCTTCAATTTCGTCTTCTGGGTGAGCAGCCACTGGGAACTGGGGACGGGGTGAACCCTCGGCTGCCAGGCTGGGTAGTGCGCTAGGCCCAGCTGAGAGGGCGCAGCGCGGCCGTGAAGTTGCGGCGCCACCTGTGGGCTCCGTGCGCCGGCCGGGGGCCTGGCGCCCCTTTCCAACCGGGCTAGGGCCTGGAGCTGAGCTTCCGGGCCTCTGCTCAAGGGTCTTCTGGGGCCGGGGAATCAGGGGATCGCTGGCCTGTCGCCTCTGAATGCTGGGGACCGGTGCAAGGGTCTGCGGGCTAGAGCCACGTAACTCGGAGCCTTCAACTGTGGAGGGGGTGTAAGCATCCTCGTGAACGCTGTTTTGGGGACCATCCTGCTTAGCGAGCACTGAGGGGGTTCGAGAAGGGCGGGATCTTGGCGCCCCGCCCCCATGAGCTCATCGTAGCCACCGCCCCTGGATGGGCGGCCTCGAAGTGGTGGGGGCACACTCCGTACTTGCCTTGGAGATGTCCACCCCAATATTACACCACCCTTGCTTGCTCTCCAGCTTGGTATTGCCACCCTGGGATGCTCGAGCTCCGGGCCTAGAAAAGAACGGGGTGGCCCGCGTGCTGCTGCGCAGCATGCCCCAGTTCCTGCCCACCCCACCCCCCAGCTGCCCCTCCTCCTTGTCTGTCGTCTCCCGCACAGATTACAGCCCTGGCCTGGCCCTTAAGGTTCTGTGGAGGCTTTTGAGAGGAAGGGGGTATGCAGTTTTGAGTTGGCACAGGCCAGGGTAGTGCAAAGATCTGGGGTCTGTACAAACCGAGGGCTTGAAGATCTTTTCAGACATACGGGGTCTGAGCTGGGCACTCCACTTCGGAAAGAAGCGCACACCCATTTGGTCACCTTGGAATGGAGACTTGGGTATAGGAGGGTCTCCAGGGGCCCCTTGGTGCCGACTGTCTTCACTGCTGGGGAGCGACCATTGGTGGTGTGTGCTTGTTTCCATTTCCTGACTGGGTTGAGAATGAGGAGGGGTAGAGTCTAACAGACCTGCCTGCAGAGACTTGAGTGAGCAGTGCTGGCCACTCCACTGGTCAGTGTTGCCACCCCCTCCCCCCTGCAGTGCACAGACTGCTGTTCCCTCCATCCTCCTTTTTCACAGGAAGAAATGAGGTTATGCCCAAACAGTCTCTGAAGTTGAAGCTGGGAGGGCGAACTTTGAAGAGGGCCCCTAGAGTGAGTGTGTAGGACAGGGGACACCTGTTTTCTGTCTTGGACTGCTGAAGATCCATGGGCGGGTCAGGGCGGGGTAGGGTGGGGTAGGGATCAGTAAGATGTTGGGGATGGGCAGAGACTGGACTGAACTCAGCTGGGACTATGCTGCATGGCCTGCTGAGGAGACCCCGGTTCTCAGTCACAGTGACCCCAGGGAACACCATGGGTGATGGAGTTAAGCTTGCTCTGTCTGGGCATGCCCTGGGGGTTAAATGCACACTCAAGGAGTCCCTCTGCTGGCCCTTAAGCCCCAGATGTGGAATATCAGGGACCTGCTGGGTATTTCTTTTTGACCCACCCACCTGATCAAGCTGGTAGCCCCTCAGGCTCCCTGGAGGCTGGGGTTCGATGAGGCTGATTGTTTCCCAGGCAGCTGGGGTGGAGTCCCAACACATCCCTGGGGGGTATTCTCTGTTGAGGCTCCAGGAAAACAGTTCTGAAGCCTCTCCCTGCTCCCAGGGGCCTGCTTACTGACTGCAGAACAGTGAAAACCATGTCCTTTCACAATCTCATGGATCTCTCCTCCCCACCCATGTTGGCCCCCACAGTGGGCAGGGATATGGAGCAGAGCCAGGCCACAACTGGTGAACACCTCCCTGGCAGAGGGGCTTCCTCTGTGCCCCGTGTGGCAAGGCTTGTCCTGTGGCTGAGAGTTTCCTGATGCCATGAGGTCAAACCTTTGGGGAGCCCCAGCCCACTGCTCTGGTCCTCAGCCTCCACTTCCTCCCTCTAAAGTGGGAGTTCTGGGGGTCCCGGTCCCCTGGGACTGTGGGCAGACTAGCTCATGCACTCTGGAGTGGAGCAAGAGGCTTGGCAATGGAGAAGGCGTAGGAAATGGATGCTGGGCACAGTGTCCAACAGGGAGCTGGGCCAAGGAGAACTGAGTAATGGTGTAAAAAGTGCCCGGGGAGGGGGCTGAGGAGGCCTGTGGGCCCATGGTGGGTATGGAGGCTCTAGAAGTGAGATTTGGTGACAGTAATGTCTCGATGGGCACTTTTTAAATGTCCAGTTGAATGATTAAAGTGGCTTTTCTGTGGGAGGGGACATCCCGGCACCCTAGCCTGCCTGCTCATGCTCCCGTGCCCAGCAAGCCTCCTGGGGCTGAGACCCACATTTGACCTGTCTTGTCCAGAGCCTACTTTGGGACCAGCAGAGTTCTGGACTCCCAAGATACACGAGACAAGACATAAACCTGAAGGATGAGCAGTGAGCAGATTCGGCAGAGGCTGTGTAAGATGCTCTTAGAAGCAGGGTAGATACCTGTCCTCTGGGACAGGTCTAGGGTAGAGAGACCTGTTTCCTGACTCCTGCTGGGAGTAGGGCAGGAGAGCAGGGCATGGTGTCCCTGTTTATCACCCTGCCAGCCTATGTCCTGGGGTGGGTCTTGTAGGAGCCTCATATGATAACGTCCCTACTGGTGTAGTCCGTAAGGGGAGAAGGCTACCCCTGGTCCTCACTGGGATAGGAGTTGTGTTCTTTGCACAGAACTGGCCACTCCTCCAGCCTAAGGCTGCCAGTGGCCCCCTTCAGTGGCCCAGGCAGCCAGACCCACCACAAAAGGCTGATTACAGCCTCTTAACTGGCATTTAATTCTCCAGACTGCACATGACTGTCTGCCACCTAGCTGTCTGCTGTCTTCCTTCCGGCAGAGGGGCCGCAATCCCTGTGGGCTCAGGGTGGAATGAGGACTTCCTGTGCCTCGCTTCACCAGTGGGAGAGCAGACTTCCCCTTGTTCCCCCAGGCTGTCAGCTTGCCCAGCTTTGGGAAAGACAATCAGTGGGCTGGGCTGCCTGAGAAGGGGAAGTCTGTGGTCGGTCCCTGGGCTGGCTTCAAAGAAGGATGGATGTCTGCGTGGAGGGCACAGAGCTGGAGTAACGAAGTGGGAAGCCCTCTGGCAGCCTCTGCTCTGGTTCCCATGCACCGCCACCTCATAATAAGAGCCCTCGCCCGATTCTTTCTGGACCCTTCAGGCTTTCTCTCGGCACTTCCCTCCTAGTTCGTCTCGCTTCCTCAAATGGAGCTGCTTTGCTGCTTCATGTGGCGCACCAACCCCTGCCAACCTTGATTCCAGCACCCAGAGTCCCGCCAAGGGGAGGAACCTCAGTCACAAAATCAATAGGCTTAGAGTCCAGGTGCCCCAGGGAGGTAGTAGGAAGTCGTGCTTGCACCCAGGCCTGGCCTTTGGAGAGGGCTTAGGTGGGGGTAGGGTGGGGCGGGGTTGTGGAGAAGTCCAGGTACCAGTGGCTCTGGCCATGACACCAGGGAACCAGATAGGACATGCTGTGAGTGCTGGGTGTCCCTGAGGCCCTATAGGTACCCATTTTGTTCCTAGGACTCTTTCTAGAGTACCAGATGTGCTGAGAACTGGCCTTTGGTGGCCTTCAGCTGTTCTGTAGGATGTAGTATGCCTGGCATGCCAGTAGCCTTCCAGGAACCTCTTGACTGACTATGACTCCCCAGTACCTCCCCCTACAATACACACACACACACACACACACACACACGAGAGAGAGAGAGAGAGAGAGAGAGAGAGAGAGAGAGAGAGAGAGAGAGAGAGAGACAGACAGAGACAGAGACAGAGAGAGGACACTTCTGTATCCAATCTAAGCTACTTTGGCCAGCTATAGGACATAGGCTATGTCATTCAGAACCATTTGGGATCCTCTGGCTGGGCTCTATGTTTTGGAGAGCTGTTCATAAGGGATTGGCCAGGGATCAGCTGGTGGTGGGCATCCTGAGCTGGCTCCAAAGTAACTACAAGGGGTGTTAGGAGAGGGCACTTGCCTTCCTGCATGGGAAGTCTGGGGAGGGCTGCAGGGCTGGGAGTGCAGGGAGGTACGTGAAAACCCGAGTGCCCAAGATCTTATAGCCCCAAAGCACCTTGAGTTTGTAATCCAGGAAAGAGCCCGGGAGCCAGGCAGTTTGGGCAGAAGATGTTGGGTGATAGGGTCCCCCCCAGTTCCCTGTGCTTCCTTGGTGCTGTCTCACAGCTCACTCCACACTTTATGTCAGCTTGGGTCAGCACTTTCTCAGGGTGGGTCTGTGGCACTCTGTGACTTGTTTACCTGTGGTCAGGCATCAATGTCGGCTCTGTGCTGGAGCTTACCAGGAAGGTCCCAGGGGTATTTAAAGGTGTCTGGTGAGGCAGGTGCAGGAATGAGGAAGCCCAGCCCAGGCCACCTGTCCCCCTGAAATACCATCCCTGAGCTCTGGAGTGGGACCCAGTGTGGCAGGGTTGTGTGGCAAGCACAAACTGTAGCGGCCACCCACCCGCTAGTGCTTAAATTCACCCTCTCACTTTTCTTGACTGAAAGTCCTCAGCCTGAGGGCATGGCCTGGCCTTAGCCCCTGGGAACAGTCTTCCTCTGTACTCTAGAGACCATGATAACAGCTCACCCAAAGTAGCACTCCGCTGGGCTGCTATCTGACCCTTGCCAGTGATAAGGAGACTGAGGTTTCCAGGCAACTAGCTGCCACATGAGGAGGAAGTGGGATGGGGTAGAACCATACCCCCACTCGGCCGCCATGTGCCATAGTCCAAGTGTGCCAGCCCCACAACCTTGCACTGGGACATGGTGGGGACAGAGGGCCATGCCTGGCTTGGAGCAGATGGAAACTTCTTGGTGCTGCTGGTGGCAACACACAAGCTACATAGAACTCTTCTACCCACTCTTCGGTCCCCTGCCTCCCTTTGTCCAGGGTACCAGGGCCACCTGAGCTTTCTCTGAAGCAAACAGCCTGGCCTCTCTGCTGCCCCT